CACCTCTCGTTTGCACATACATACATGTGCAAACTGTCGGTCGGTCCCCTTTTTCCAAACAACAACCCACAAAAACGCCGTTTTTCGTTGATCAGGAAAACATTTGCGCAACACTGTTTTATGTTTATAACTGCTATAAATATAATTTCTATTGTGTAGCCTTGCTATTTTTTTTCTTCTTCTGTTTCCCCCCCCGCCTCTCACCTTGGCGGCCTGGAAGGCACGATTGCACGCCCTGGTCAGCCGGGTCACGGTGCACCTTGGCTGCCGAGCCACACGGTTTGCCTTGGGCATATCAGTGCCCTGGCTTTTCGCCTGCTGGCTGGGGGCAGCAGAAGATATAATATAGGGTAGGATGATACGGCGGCGGCGGCCCCCACCCCCTCCCACCCCCTCCCACTCTTAACATCTCCCCTAAAGCCACCCAAAAAGTCCGCCATACACCTATGCCCCAATTCCCGGACGCTTCCTAAACCTTTCTATGTGCCATAACCTACGGATAGGATGCCTAAACACCGGTGTTGAGCATGCAGACATATCCCGGAGAAGCCATTGATGCAACAGCACCACAAAGGCTATACGTGTCTCCCAAACCTAGGAACCTATGTCCATAGATACTTTTTTATTATTCCAATCAAAAATTAGCCCCGACCAACACACCCACCACGGATGGCCGCGGATGTTCTTCCTCCTATACGCGGCACGGCACCGCGATGCGCTATGCCTCCTCGTCCACACCCAATAGGCGTCAGCTCCCAATCATCGTTAGCCCTGCAGAGTATAACACATTTGAATAGCTGAAAGCACGCGATTCCGCAGTGCGCGCGCACAGAATGTCCTTCGACTTACTTGCCATGGATTTCTTGCCAAGAGGCGGCTGCACTGTAGTAGTCGATATCAGAGTACGCGTCGCTGATCAGCTAAGCTAAGCTATAGCACCTAATACAGCCCAATAATGGAGAGAGTGCCTTAGGGCTAAAAGGAATATTGTGAGCGGGATGCCCGATGCGGCAGCGAAATCCACCGCACCCACACGTGAAGTCACACAAGGGCAGCAAAAACAAAGATCTTTGAATGCAATTTGTTAATGGTGTAATTGTTCGTAGTCGGAGCGCTTCGCGAGCGATCGATAACGTGCGACAAGCCCTTCTTACCGTCGAGCGTACGACAAACGATCTCTCATGCCAAGAAAATCCCCAAATGCTTCGTCAAGCAGCACTTTGCATATGAGGTGCGAAATGCTCAATATAAAC